CCGATATAATGGTTGGGTCGGTACTAAACATGTTGACATACTTTAGACTTCCCGGAGCGACAGTGTTTCACATCAACTACCTATATGTTCTTTTACGCGGGTTTTTATGGAACTTTCATCCAAAGATGCGTAAAAAAACCTAACGTAAAAAGTTAAATTTAGACGTGATAAAATCCGTAACATTAGTTTTATTCCATGTGTAGTAGTATACTGTATACTAAATTTTGAAGTCAACTCGAACGTAAAAAAATATTTACATCTAATTTGTGGTGCCAATCAAAATATTAAATAGGACCAATGATAGATATGAATAAAATAACTCAAATAAACATTATGCCGTAAATTAGACGCATTATTATTATTGCAAATATCCAGCTACTTGACAATTTATGCGGGAGGCCTATGTTTATTTCAGTGGACTTATTTTTAGAGTGAAAACGAAAAGTTACATACCCGAAAATATGAATACAATAAAAATGCATATATTGCCCCATGAAAAGTAAAAAGTTGCAGCTCAAATACACGTTACTACTGGCCAATGGCCGCATAAAGTTTTTGGCTAAAAAAAGTGTTCGCTGCGCTGATTCCAATGCAGGATGACCTCAACTGGGAAACTTCTCAGATATGCAGGTTTTCCTTAACCGCCGAGAACGTGGTAAATCGACACTTCAAATTGCAATTAATATATAATATGCTGAAATATTTAATAATGCTTACGTATCATGAAATTTAAGTTTTTTACAGTTGGATTACGGCCTTTGACATGTAAAATAAAAAGAACCTTTGTTTAAAGCAGTTTAAGTAAAATTTGCTTTAAAAAAAGAGCATGTTAATTTACAAATATGTACTCATATATAAGCTATGAAACCATCATCATCATCATCATCATTACAGCCCTTCACAAGTCCACTGCTGAACATAGGCCTCCCCCAAAGAATGCCACAAAGCACGGTCCTGAGCCACCTGCATCCATCGACTTCCTGCATATCCTACCAGGTCGTCACTCCATCTAGTGGGGGGACACTTCGCCTGCCGGTACGAGGCTGCCACTCGAGAACCTTTCTTCCCCATCGGTTGTCGGTTCTTCGAGCTATATGGCCGGCCCATTGCCACTTCAGCTTACTAATCCGTTGGGCTATGTCGGTCACTCTAGTTCTACTGCGGATATCCTCATTTCTGAGTTTATCACGCAGAGAAACTCCGAGCATAGCCCTCTCCATAGCTCGCTGAGCGACCTTGAGCTATGAAACCAGACTGTCACAAATATCTTAATATGTCCGAAAATATGAAAGCTACCTTAAATTATAAAGTGATTATAAATCTCATTAAAGGTAAAAAAGTAAAGTAGCAGTTAATATACGTCTCACTACTGTACACAGGACTCCTCTTTACCTATAGTGTTTTGTGGGCAGAAAAATAGAGTACGCTGCAATGTTTTAACATGTAATGTTAACGGTTTTCACATCTCCACGACTATTTTAACTACTCAGATATCTAGGTTTCCCCACGAAGTTATTCTTCACCACTTTAACGGACACGTGTTAAGTCAGCACGTAAAGTTTTCTATAACAGAATCATCCTCGTACACACTTTGCTCCCGTGCCATCATGAAATCTCACGGCGAGAGCTACACGGCCCTCATATTTGTTTAAATACAATTCATTAAAACTGAAACTAAGTTTTTGCATGATTGTTGACCACATCTACCTAGTAATTACACATCCAACGTTGCCACGAACGAATTTTCAATTATTTACATCGTATACTAAGTAGCATTCTATTATGTATTTAATTATATCAGATACTTACCATTTTAGTTTGTTTAGTGGTAAGTAGATGGCGCTATTATTAGATGAAATAAAGCCAAAACTATATTATCTAATAATATCAGCAATAGAAGTGAACATTTATTTATTTTATCCATAAGGCATAAAGTGATGTCAATTCTCTTAAAAGTTCTGTTTCTGCTAAAAATATACGCTATCAGCGCCGGTAACGGTGAAAAACGATTATATCGTCATATGACTCTATCATGAAATCGCAACGTTTCTAGTTATTAATATCTTCAAACGATTTCTATTCCTTGATTTGGTTAAGCTATATCGTGAGATGGTCAACAAACAGTGTTAAATATCACGAAATGACTACACCATTTCACGAAATGATAGACTACTTTATATGATCTATTCTACGATCTAGCCACGACATATATAAAAATCTCTTTAATAAAACTATAATGATAATGAAAATTTTGCAATAATTGCAGACGGACCAGTTTTAATCAGTTTACATATAGATTAGTAATTGAAATAAAAACCTTATCAATTTTCATATTTTTGATTGATCTTCTATTGAAATTATTACACTTTTAAAATAAAATAACAAAAATACAAAAAAAACTAAACGTTACAGTTTTTAAATAATTTTAAAAATCTTATTATCTTATTATTTAAACATATAAATGCAAGTTACTTATATTATTTAATTTATTAGTAACTGAAGGCAAAATATACTACTTTTTACATTTGATGATAGATGGCGCTGTTTTCATAACTAAATTGGTGTAATTTCAAATTATTTTACCAAGTTTATAACTATATTTTATACTTTATTTATAAATATGGTATTTATTTAGAAAACACTCGTCATCCAATCTATAACTAAGATATAATAGAAAATCAACATCTTAAGGAAGGAAAATACTTAACCATCTTTTTTGAAGTTCCGTAATCGGATAAAAAGTAGCCTATAAGTTGCCCCGGGTTATTAACTACCTATATACAAAATTTCATGTAAATCGGTCTAGTAGTTTTTGCGTGAATCCGGAATACACAGACAGATATAATTTATGATAGTATAATACAAATTAAACATATAGTGAAATTGAACGCTTCCAAAACACAAGCGTGTCTCTTCACACTGCAAAAAGGAACCAGTTCGCTTTGGCGCCTCCTTTCCGAAATGTAACACTGGAACACACCGACCGCTTTCAGTTGTTAGGGCTTGAGATATCCTCAAACTCGAACTTCGGGCGGTTCATTGAGTCCAAGGCCAAAGCAGCAGGGAAGCAAGGAGTTTTTGCGAAGGTACTTCACGCCGGGACAGCTGCTTACTCTATATAAAGAGCAAGTCCGGTCGTGCATGGAGTATTGCTGGCATATATGGGCTGGTGATTTAAAACGCCACCTAGCAGCTTTGGACTCAATGAAAAGGCACACTACGTGTATTATTAGTGACCCGAATCTGATTAAAACCAATCTTACCGGCCTCGAACACTGGCGCAAACTACCCAGCCTTTCAGTTTTCTACAGGATGCATTTCAGAGTGTGCGCAAAAGTGGCATGACTTTATTCCTACCACTACCTTCCACCATCGGATAATCAGATGTTTGACCAGTCTCCAACTTTCCTCGTTGACTTATCACGCATTCGAACCAAACGGTTTGCTATATCGTTCGTCATGCATGCAGCAAAGGAGTGGAATAAGTTGCCAGCATCTCGTCTTTCCATCCATTTACAATGTGGGTGTCTTCAAGGCAAGGGTTAATAGACTTTTGTTAAGATAGTGTGCTTCACCATTACAGGCTCCATTACCACTTACCATCAGGTGGGATTGTAGTTAAGCGCTAGCTTAGGATAGTAAAAAAAGAATTATCTTCTTCAGAAAAGCTGCAGTTTCAATAACCACATATGGCACGGAAAAGTTTTTCTACTCGTTCTATAAATTCATAAATAATTCATAAGAAATGGAGTTTTTACCGGAAGACTTTTATATTTATACATAAAATACGTTTACATAATATGTACATATTTTATCAGATCTTTCACGAAAAAGGTTTTGTTACAGTGTGTATTTTCATATGTCTTTGCAAACTTGTTTTTCTTATACATCTAAATTCACAGATATTACACGAAAACGGTTTTTCTCCAGTGTGTATTTTTATGTGTCTTCTCAAATAAGATTTGTGTATACATTTATATTCACAGATACTACAGGAAAAAGGTTTTTCTCCAGTGTGTATTTTAATGTGTTTTCTCAAATCAGATTTGTCTATACATTTATATTCACAGATATTACACGAATAACGTTTTTCACCGGTATGTATTTTCATATGCCTTTGCAAACTATCTTTTCTATTACATTTGTATTCACAGATATTACACGAAAAAGATTTTTCTCCGGTATGTCTTTTCATATGTTTTTGCAAGTCAACTTTTCTAATACATTTATATTCACAGATATTACAGGAATGTTTTTCTCCAGTATGTATTTTCATATGATACCACAAATTACTTCTATCAATACATTTATAGTCACAGATATTACACGAAAAAGGTTTTTCTCCGGTGTGTATTTTCATATGCGTTTGCAAACTCCTTTTTTGAATACATTTATATTCACAGATATTACACGAAAAAGGTTTTTCTCCGGTATGTATTTTCATATGATACCACAAATTACTTCTATCAATACATTTATAGTCACAGATATTACACGAAAAAGGTTTTTCTCCGGTGTGTATTTTCATATGCGTTTGCAAACTCCTTTTTTGAATACATTTATATTCACAGATATTACACGAAAAAGGTTTTTCTCCGGTATGTATTTTCATATGTTGATGCAAATTACTTTTCATAATAGATTTATATCCACAATTATTACAGCAGTACACACGTTTAGCTACGTGCGCTTTAAGATGTGCCAAAATGCAACGTTTTTGAGATGTTTTAAATTCGCAAATATCACAATTAAACATTTTCGTTAGTCGTGATACTGCAGTTTGTTCAACTTGTGTCCGCCCTGCAGTGGTATCGGAGTTCTTTTGGGTCTCATGACTGTACAAAATGTGTTTGGCGAGAATGTCTTTTGTTGAAAATTTTTTGCTACAACCATCACATTCAAAAATGTATTTTGTTGATGCCCCTGACGTTTTTTTCGTAAGTATATTTACACTCTTCTTTTTCATAATCTTTGCAGGATGCTTTCCTTTTTTATTAATTGGTTTATAATGTTTGTTCATTTTAGGGTTTGATTTAATAGAAGGGCTTTTCAAATCGAGGTTTTCTTTACGTACATCGCATATGTTGCTGTCAGTAGAATTTGATTTAATCATTTTCTCAGACGGTTCTGAAAAATGATTTGTTGGTGTGATGTATTGTTCTGAAACACACACGAATTAAACATTTTATTTATTTTAAGACATAAACAACCGTTGTAAACACCATGAACTGTTTACAATGGGCGGAGTTTATGCCTTATGGCATTCTCTATCAGTTAACCCAGGAAGAAATAGAGAAATTATAATATTTTACATAATAATACTACATGATGTTCCTTGCTATAAAGTATTTATGCCAATTACTCTGAATAATGTCTCTTTGGAGGGAAAGAATGCTAGAGAAACTAAATTCATATGATAATGATGACGTTCTTCTGACCGTGTTATTATTACATTAATCTAATAATCGCTGTTTCGAATTCCACACAGAACTAGTGTTATAGATACATACATATTAATGTATATATGTATAACACTGAAGCTCCCAAATGATGGAGGTATATTTACGCCAGGGTAAAATATCCAGACCAGCGTCATATGGTCATAAATGCAATATGTCTAGAGCTGCAATTGTCAATCCATTCTGTCAAGTGTGACAATGCGTGGGACCCATGCATGGCATTGTACTTTAATGGGCTAATCAAGTATAAATAAAACAGAGATATGGCGTCCCGAAATAGTCGTCCATACTGTATCTTTGTGACGCTTCTTTTGTATAGAATAGGGGTGACAAACGAGCACACAGTCCACCTGATGGTCCACCTCGTTTGCGAATCAAAATGCAGATGCGTTGTCAGCCCTGGGTACTAAGATGGAATGCCTCTTTTCCAGTAAAAAGGGTCTCCGGTTCTCTACTTACCGTACCTTGGCCGCTCAGTATATTTACGAAAATTTTATGTGTGTTCACAAAAACAAAGGTAGTTTTAGTAAAAAAAAGTGATATACATTCTGTAAACACTAGGAACAAACACAAGCTAGTGATACCAGTTTCTCGACTCCACGGAGTCAGTAATTCATTCTTGGGGCAATGTATACGCTATTACAACAAGGTCCCGGAAAGTGTACAGGCTCTCTCTATTACCAAGTTTAAATATTTTGTTAAGTTAAAACTGTATAAAAAGGGTTATTATAGTGTAAATGAATACATGGTTGATAATAACCCCTGGGAATGAGGTGGTCGCTTCCAAGCAGTTTCTAAAGTAAATTTTTTAAATAGTTTGTAATCATTTATATTGTAAAATTTATTTAAATAAAAAGTCCCGCTGGGTTTCTTGCTGGTTCTTCCCAGGACAGAGGGTTTTTTTCGAACCGGTGGTAAAGTAAAAAATGACTTTCAATAAGAATTACTCATGTAATGTATATTGAATAAAAAATTATTCTATTTTATTCTATTCTATTCTACACTCACCATACGAAATATAGAAGCATTAAGCTGCTATTTTAAGCTGGTATTATGTGAGAACGTAGGCTCTACCACGTCCAAAATTATGTCTACGCGAACACTACACATTTAAATGAATTAAGTTTTACGGATTTTATCGAGTACGATGGTCGAATTGAGCAGTTGCAATTAATCCGAACAATTCATCTGATAACTAACTCCCCGTAGTATATATGAACGGTAGAAGATGCATATAGATTATAGATGCAGCGTCTATTCGCAAGGTCAGTGGATCAAACCGATCGGAAATAATTTGATCGACGACGATTCAGGACGCTCTCCGTTGAATACCGTCAAGTGGAAGGAGTTCATACTGGGGTGCCCCAGCCCAGACATGAGAACATTATTCCATATGAGGCCGAACCTGCGTTTGTGAAGCTGTAAGTGGTGAGCCGGCATGAAATACCGTTTCGATCTACTGGGCACACCAAGCTTTTTTGATAACAATTAAGCATTCCCTTCCAAGTAGACGCCAAGGCATACGATGCTGGCTGAGGCAACGAGGACAGTACCCTAAAATTGAGGAGATACGACAAAGAGGTTCTTTTTTGCGGTAAGCACGCAAACCTGTGTTTTTTGGGAGTGAAACTGGACTAGATTTAGTCACCCTCAATCCGAAACTTTAATCAACAAAAACTCGACCTAAGACACAAGTTTGTTCCGGGCACTCGATGACGTGTTCCCGAGAAAACTGCACAAGAATGAACTTTACTAGTATGTTATATATCATTGATATGCAGAAGGAACAGAGTAGGCGATAGCACGCAACCTTGTGAAACATCAGCATTCACAGGCTTGGAGTCGGAGCATGCCCCGTCGACTACGACCTTAAATCTCCGATTTGTAAGAAAACTGCATGCTGCGCATGCATTGCATTGCATAATTTCTCGGAAAGCTCATAAGAGGGAAGCTTCGAAAGAAGCGCTTTGTGCCAAACTCGATCAAAGGTTTTCGCTTAGTCTAAACTAACCGCCAGGACTCAGTAACTCAGGTAGACAAGAAGGTCAAAGAGCCAGCAACAAAAAAAAATAGATTGATAAACTGCACCAAGTAATTATAGTGTAGTTAATGAGTATAGCGTACATGCTGTCTTTACTTAACAAAATATTGAAGATGTTAGCCCTGACAATATTTACAATATGGACGAAAGCGGATTCCATGACGACCCTGGAAGAAAAATATCTTTTATTCAGACGTTCCACGCGCCGTCCAGAACTGGTAAAAATTCCACTTAATCAGGTTTTACAATAATATTTACTGGTAATGCTATTAGAGACTTCCTCCCAGCATTCTTTATATTTAAGGGGAATCACCGTTGCTCAGACTGGGTAATTAATGCTCCAAAATCATTCAAAATGGCGGTCTCCAAGTCAGGGTGGAAGGACGCAGAAATATTTGAAAAATATCGTAAAAAGCACTTTGTGCCACTTGCTAGTAAAAGGCCAGGGAAAAAACTGGTCATATGTGACAATTTGAGTGCGCAAATTAGCGTAAAAGCCCTAAAGATATGTGAGGAGCACAACATCTAGTTTATTTGCTTACAGCCACATGATGTGGGGTATTTTGGGTCATTGAAGTCAGCTTGGCGAACAGTGCTCAACAAATGGAGGCAAACACAAAGAGAGGAAAACTGGGGCACTGCCAAAAAACGTGTTCTGTCACATAGTGAATTCAGCTCTTCAACGTGGATAATTTTTACAAAAATTAACTGAAACAGGAAGAAAGGAAGGAGAGGTCTGTAAATAAAGGAAAACCCAAGGGTTCCAAAAACAATTCAGTACGAACAAATCTGTAGTAAAAAAGATAGTTGCTACCGAAACAGGTGGCCAAGTCTAATCGAGCATTGATGCGGCAGACAAGGCAATATCTCATAATGCGAACGAGAGTGCGAAGAGTTTCAAACAATTTTTTTTTAAATAGAAGGAGAAATAGCTCAAATACGCGAAAAACCGAAAAAGCATAAAGATATCATGTAACTAAGATAAAGCAAAAAAGTGTCATGAAGAAAAGAAGTTTGAAACTCCACCAATTAACGGAAAGATTCTTCTGAAAATAGCATGTGTGCAAAGAAAAAAAAGAAGTTCGATGAAAATGAATTTAGAACGAAGGATATTGAACAAGACCTCATGAAGCAACATGGCTGCAGCCTGGCTCTACCACGTGAAAATGTAATGTTCTGCAGATTAAAATCCATCTGTAGGACGTTAATTTAATGACAATTAAGGTCACGGTGGCTACCAACGGATACTAGCCACCTGCGCAAGTGCAGCACAAGCACAAGTGCACTCTGTACTTCCACTCTCTCATAACCCGATGGGACGGTACACGACACGACTGGAGAGAGATCAGGTGTACGACCAACGGCTTATGTGCCTTCTGAGGCACGGGATTGACACACTGCCAATTTCCTGGCTCCGGGCTGCTACTGGAAATTTCTTGACAGACATATCCAACAACTGATTGTGGTAAAACCATAGATGTAAGAAAGATAGAGGATAAGCTGTAAATTGCATATATATTTTTTGGTTATACAAATATCATGTAAACATGAACCTTACCAACAAAAATATATCTGTCTCATTCTCACACGTTATGATTTTCAAATGTAAAAAAAGATAAGTACATATCTTAGACTTCAATTTTCTGTTGACAGTTTTCATAATTTCCCTAAGCTCCACCTTGAAGCATGACGCCATTTTAGAATGACGTTCATTTGTGGTAGGTCGTCTGTCATCTAAGCCTTGTTCGGAGTTATTTTGCAGTGTTACAGTGAATTTTGACTATTTTGGAGCTTTTTTGTTTATTAGTAAAGGGTAATTGAGCAAAAACAACATGACAAAGTGTTGCATCAATCGATGTAATTCAAATTCTCTTAAAAATGAAGAAGGATTGTCATTTTTCAGGTTAGTTGTAATTTTTTTCCATAATTGTATATTTTTTCGTGTGAATTGTGTTTTGTGTTCATGTTATGGGATCTAAATCGTGTTTCCCGCTATTATCTAGAATTTCCAATGAATATTATCATGTAAATTTAAACAAGTAAACATTTTGATTGTTTACATTTTTAGATAGTGCTGTCCTTACGTGCTGTCATGTTTTGAAATTATCGATATAAACTTTAACAATATTTTTTTATTAAACTGGCTTTACGGCTCTGGGTTCTAGCCCTTCTAAGCCTGTTTAACAATATTAATGTCTTATGATCAAATCACGTTTTAGATACGTAAATTGTATATTTAATCAAACAATCGATTGAGAGCCTTTCATTTAAGAAAAGAACTTGAAAATAATGTAAATCGTAAATTTTCTATAATAGTTTTTTTCATCAAAAGATTTGATGATATTAAGATTATTTTTGATTGGTACTTAAGGATGCACAATATTTATTTTAGATTGCCAAAAAATGAAGGCCTTCAAAAATTGTGGATTGAAAATATAGGCCAGGAAAACATAAAACCTGCAGTAGTAAGAAGAATAAGCTCCTTGCATTTTGAAAAAGAATGTATAAATAGAACGCTGGATGTAGTTCGGCTTAAGGATGATTTGGTTCATGTGTCTAAAATAAATTTTCTGACTAAATAATATTATTTCGTCACGAATAAATGATTTTAATCAGTATACATTATTGTTATTTTATTTATTTTTAATCCTTACTCTCATGTTTACCTCCAGTATCCACTACTATTTACGCTACTGGTGGAAGTCATTACAACTTGCAGGTTGTAAACACTATAAAATTGATATTTTGTGGTGTTACACAAATGGGATATAATGAGAAATGAGTATGGAAATAGAAGGCTGAAGTGGCGCAGCCACCCCTATTAATCGAAATGTTGCATGGATATTGGTTGTCATATGGTATGAACATGGGATGCTGAAGATTGAGGAATACGTTAGGATAGTTAAATGATTAATGGATTGTGTAAACGATGGTATGGTTAGAAAGGGGCTGCTCAACTCGATTAGATTACTGAGATAAATAATCTTTATTATAAAAAAAAAAGAGATGACGGCTAGTAACTATGTATGAAAGAACAAATGAGATGACTGCTAGTAACTATGTATGAAAGAACACGTACTGACTTGACATTGGCAGAATTCTAAAAAGAGGGGGCCATAAAACTAAGAAAGAAGAAGAAGAAGAAAGAACACATGCTCCACAAACTTTAAATAAATCAAGATAAAGGTCAGTCTACTGCACGTTCATGGTGACTTGAACTGGTAACTGACCATTACCACGAAAGAAAGGTGTTGTCGAATCTTTATGGCGGCTTGGAAGTTAAGAGCAAGCGCTAGTCCGTGCAGATATAGTTGAAAGAAAACTTGATGGTGTCTCAGATCAATGTACATAAAGCGAAGCGTGAAGGTACAGGACTTGCGTTCACAACTTACTTCCCAGCCGCTATAAAGTCTATATATTTGATATAATTCACGCAACCTGGACGCATACCGTTGGGGCTGGTTCGATGTGGTGCAGGACAAAACCACTGGGAAAAACTTAGGGGAGACTTCTGCCTAGTAGTGGGACAGCATGGGCTGGACAAAAAATCATACGAAACCTGATACATTGCCTATAGTGGTGGTTTTGTTAATCTCTGCAGAGGAGAAAAAAAAATGCATGCGCCGACCCAGGGACGCACGGATGGAGTGATCAATACAACTATTATTACAGGATTAACCCAATGCAATAGTGTAGTGATCTAATATTTGTTTATTTTATATATACCTATGAGATGGACAATACGTCATAATTTATATAGCATCAATACTGAAAATATCGACAGAAACAACGCTTTTTCTTGTGGGTGGAGTCGTCGCCATATTTGAGAAACAATTGACTTCAGATCACGTGACCACATGCCATATCCCCTATTTTTCTTATATCTATGGGTAAAACGCAGGAGCTCATGACTAGCAGTTGTACTTACAACAACTTTCTCAGACATGTTAATAGCCCTTACAACAATTCAGTGAATCCTCTTTCCTGTTTTATCTCAATAACACCTTGAGTCACCACTGGCGAATTCAGTTCTTGCATGAAGCAAGAACTACCTGTTGTGTTGTACCAATTGTTAGGCTTATAAATCAGTTTGCTTCTAATGTTTGTTCATGTGTAATTAAGAGACAAAATTTTGTGTGTACAGTACATCTCCAACTACATGATCCAAGAGAAATTTCTAACATAGTGTTTTGTTTTGATACAGGTTTTTTAAAATAAATTCTTTTACCTATGTCAACGTCATCATTTATAGTCTTTGAACCAAGTGCAATTAGTGGCAAGTCGTCTTCCAAATCCGTATGTATACCTTCAAAAGCATCAATCTCCAAGTCTTCTTGTTTTTCAGCAGTCTCTAGAATGAAACAGATTCTGATTCAATGTATAAAATTCCAAGCCCAGATCATTACAGTCCATCACACAGCTTATAGGCCTGAGACACCAACTAGTAATGACACTAAAAAAATTGGCAAAGATAGGTGGTTGCTTACCAGTTGGAAGTATATAATTAATTCCTATGAAATTAATACATCTTAGTGTCATACAAACTGGATGCATTGGGTTATTCCGTTTATCCACCCCAGACGGGGCGGATAATCGGAATTCACTTTTTGATTGTTGTTCCGACTTTCCACCCCAAGTACAGTTCAAGAGAAAATATATTCACACTTTAATATCATCATCATCATCATCATTACAGCCCTTCACAAGTCCACTGCTGAACATAGGCCTCCCCCAAAGAATGCCACAAAGCACGGTCCTGAGCCACCTGCATCCATCGACTTCCTGCATATCGTACCAGGTCGTCACTCCATCTAGTGGGGGGACGCCCTACACTTCGCCTGCCGGTACGAGGCTGCCACTCGAGAACCTTTCTTCCCCATCGGTTGTCGGTTCTTCGAGCTATATGGCCGGCCCATTGCCACTTCAGCTTACTAATCCGTTGGGCTATGTCGGTCACTCTAGTTCTACTGCGGATATCCTCATTTCTGAGTTTATCACGCAGAGAAACTCCGAGCATAGCCCTCTCCATAGCTCGCTGAGCGACCTTGAGCTTCCTCATCCGGCCAGCAGTGAAGGACCACGTCTCAGTTCCGTATGTCATCACTGGCAACACGCACTGGGTGTACAGTCTCGTTTTCAAGTTTTGAGGTATACCTGACGAGAAGATGTGCCGTAATTTCCCGAACGCTGCCCAACCGAGTTGAATCCGTCGATTGACCTCTCGGTCGAAGTTGGACTTACCTAGTCGGACTATTTGTCCCAGGTAAACATACTCGTCAACAACTTCGAGCTTAGTGTTCCCAACAACTACCGGCATAGGTGTGACATGGACGTTAAACATGATTTTTGTTTTGTCCATGTTCATCTTAAGACCTATCCGTTGGGAAACACTATTGAGGTCATTGAGCATAGTGCTTAGGTCCTCCAGCGATTCTGCCATAAGGACTATATCGTCGGCAAATCGAAGGTGAGTGATGTACTCGCCATTGATGTTGATACCGTATCCTTTCCAGTCCAGAAGCTTGAAAACATCTTCCAATGCAGCGGTAAAGAGTTTCGGGGATATGACGTCACCCTGTCTTACACCTCTCTGCAATTGGATAGGTTTCGTACTCTGGTTCTGTACTTGGATAGCCATCGTAGCCCTACTGTACAAGCACTTCAACACTTCGATATACCGACAGTCAACTTGGCATCGCTGAAGGGACTGCAGCACCGCCCAAATTTCGACGGAATCAAAGGCTTTCTCATAGTCCACATACGCCAGACATAGAGGCAAATTGTACTCCTCGGACTTCTGTACAATTTGCCGAAGGGTATGTATGTGGTCTATGGTGCTAAAGCCTTTTCGGAAACCGGCTTGTTCGGGAGGCTGGAAGTCGTCAAGTCTGCGCGCGAGACGATTCGTAATGACTCTCGAAAACAGCACGTAGACGCGGCTCAGAAGGGAAATCGGTCTGTAGTTCTTCAAGAGAGCGTTGTCGCCTTTCTTGAAGAACAAGACCACCGCACTTCTGCTCCACGCCTCCGGTGTAATGCCACCATGGAGGACGGAATTAAAGAGCTTCTGAAGGACTTCAAGTACCGGTTTTCCACCCGCTTTCAGAAGCTCCGCTGTAATTCCATCCTCGCCTGGGGCCTTGCCGTTTTTAAGGTGCTGGAGAGCCATTCTAATCTCGCTCAGACTGACGTCCGGGATATCATCGGAATAATGTCGGATAAGACTCGCTCTTGGATCGTTACTCACACTTGCGTGCGGCTCCAACGATGACGTGTACAGCTGCCCATAGAACCTCTCAATCTCACTCAAAATCTCAGGTGCCCCGGAAACGATGCTGCCACATTCTGTCTTCAGCTTTGACAGTTGGCGCTTTCTGGCAGACAGATCTCTGGCAAAGACTTTGGAGCCTCGGTTCCGCTCGATCGCTTCTTCAATACGAGCTGTATTGAATTTGCGTAAGTCCCGCCGCATGCATTTGGAGATCTGTCTGTTCAGTTGCCTGTATGCTGTTAAATCTGTTGAAGAATGTAGCTTCATCTCCCGTCTAACAGCCATGAGATTAAGAGTGTGATCGGAGAGTTTTTGTGTTCTTCTGCGGCGGGTCTTGCAGAACTTAGCTCCGACCGCATGGACAGTTTCCACGAGCTTGTCATTCAAATCGTCCACTTCATTGCAGTCTTCTAGGCACTGAAAACGGTTTTGTAACTCGAGCTGAAAGGTTTCGGGACTTTGGAAAAGAGCACGAGGGGGACGGAGCGTTGACTTCATTAGACGAGACCTCTCCAACTTAACGTTTAGGTTCAGTGTGCCTCTAACCATTCGGTGATCGCTGCCGGTTTTCACCCTCGCGATCACTGAGACATCACTGAACAGTTGTCGTCTGGTCGTCATAATGAAGTCAATCTCATTTTTTGTCGAACCGTCGGGGCTCGACCAGGTCCACTTCTGTGGGGCCGCTTCTGGAAGAAAGAGTTCATCATAAAGAGTCCCTCTTTCTCCATGAAGTCGGCCAGCTGCTGGCCCCTTGGGTTCCGTTGCCCTATTCCAAATTTCCCTACTTTCAGCTCACCGTTCTCTCTTGTGCCTAGTTTTGCATTGAAGTCTCCCATTAACACCGTATATTGGGTTTTGGAGGAATGCATGGCTCTAGAGATATCCTCATACATTTCCTCCACCTCCTGATCGGGGTGTGCCGAGGTTGGTGCGTAAACCTGTATGACCTTCAGCGAATACCGTTTGGTGATTCTGAGTATAAGGTACGCAACCCTCGTCGACACACTCTCAATCTTTAATATATGATTGATTAATTTACATTAAGACGATAGTAAGATAAGTTTATTCAATATGGGTAATTTTAATTTATTTAATTATATGTTTTATATTGTTTATTTTAACAGTTGACATTTATATTAACCATCTATTGAACACCGCTCAAAAAGAAGACCGAGATAATAAGAAACACCGTTTTAAAAAAAATAATAGCTTTAGTATTTTTTAAAGACAAAAAATAAAGAGAGTAGTGGAATGGCAGATTCAAACCCACAACCTTTTCAGTTCAAAGTCAGCACTATATTATATCTCATTCTCTAGCAGGCTAAACCCTATAGATGTGTAGCGGCGCTGTCGTCGCGCCACAAGCGAAAAACATCGAAGCCTAAATCGCGCTATCAAGGTTCCGAAGTTAAATCAGCATATATAGAATAGCTCCGAACTACCAATTGGAGCGTTGGCCGCTCCCCGGGCAGAACACCTTGCCCGGCGGGAGATCTCCCCTTTTCCTTCCACCCGCTACAGTGGTGACCCCGACGTGATATGAACACGCAACCAACAACCTTCGGAAACTACAACTTCCAATCTTCGTCATCATCCTTAAGTACCCCATTCATTCGCTCCCGAGCAGACATTGTCTGCAGTCTTCACATTCTGCAAGCCATCTAGCTTAACAAAGGTTCATCGCAGCACTGGAATAATAATGCTTCCTGTTCCTTCAAGCTACTCTCTGCGCTACAGTGTTCGGCACGGCTCTGAGCCTTACTGCTCGCCTCTGCTTCACGGCAATCTCGCAGATTACTTGCCTTCTTCCCGACTCACCGCAGACTACAAGGCAATCCCTGGCACTTGCTCCGGCTCATCGTTCTCACCGGCATCACTTGCAAGTGCGTAGTACGGCATGCATTACACACCGGCATATCATTCGCACCAGCGTCACTTGCCCTTACGCACACAGCATGCATTCCCCACCGGCATTTAAGGACGCACCGGCAATCGGACTGCACTATCGACCTCCGGTCTGAGCAGGGGGGTGATGTAGCGGCGCTGTCGTCGCGCCACAAGCGAAAAACATCGAAGCCTATATCGCGCTATCAAGGTTCCGAAGTTAAATCAGCATATATAGAATAGCTCCGAACTACCAATTGGAGCGCTGGCCGCTCCCCGGGCAGAACACCTTGCCCGGCGGGAGATCTCCCCTTTTCCTTCCACTCGCCACAGATGTATATGTTTGTCTCTTTTTAGTGCCGCTTTTACGTTCCATCGAGTTTCAAATCAAAACAATTTTAAAGTATTCTTTTCAAAACTAAGTCATTTTGTACTCAGTGTCTCCGTTTTTATTTCACCAGCAAACATTTCAAAATGATTTTTAAACAAATTAATTACAATTACTTTTTGGCCTTTAGAGATAATCTCATTTTACTGGTTCCTACAAAATTCCTCGCTTAAGTTATTAAGTTTAGTATAAAAAGTAAAAATCAAAATAAAGTTACGTCTTTACGATGCAAATCGAGTATTTATTTGCATTTCTCTTCTTGTTGTGTGGGCAAGTCTATCAATTAATTATAAATATTCAAGATAAATATCGACATTGATATTGATGTAGTTGAGTCAATCCCTAGCGAACATGTAAAATATTTTGTTGAAAAATATATTTACCAATATCATGCAAATTATCAAAATTTTTTTTCAAAATATAAAATTAACGAAATAATGGAAAATATTCTATATTTTAAACAGTACAACATATTTGTATGTATAATTTATGTTAGTATAATACAAATTAAACATATAGTGAAATTGAACGCTTCCAAAACACAAGCGTGTCTCTTCACACTGCAAAAAGGAACCAGTTCGCTTCTTCTTTCCGAAATATATCACCGGAATACATCGACCGCTTTCAGTTGTTGGGGGTTGAAATATCCTCAAACCCGAACTTCGGGCGGTTCATTGAGTCTAAGACCAAAGCAGTAAGGAAGCTAGGAGTCCTTGCGAAGGTACTTCACGATAGTACTTCACGCCGGGACAACTGCTTACTCTATATAAAGAGCAAGTCCGGTCGTGCATGGAGTATTGCTGCCATATATGGGCAATGCCACCTAGCAGCTTTGGACACCATGAAAAGGCACGCTACGACGATTGTTGGTGACCCGAATCTGATTAAAACCAATCTTACCGGCCTCGAACACTGGCGCAAAGTACGCAGCCTTTCAGTTTTCTACAGGATGCATTTCGGAGTGTGCGCAAGAGTTGCATGACTTTATTCCTACCACTACCTTCCACCATCAGATAACCAGATTTTTGACCAGTATCCAACTTTCCTTGTTGACTTATCACGCATTCGAACCAAACGGTTTGCTATATCGTTCGTCATGCATGCAGCAAAGGAGTGGAATAAGTTGCCAGCATCTCGTCTTTCCATCCGATTACAATGTGGGTGTCTTCAAGGCAAGGGTTAATAGACTTTTGTTAAGATAGTGTGCTTCACCATTACAGGCTCCATCACCACTTACCATCAGGTGGGATTGTAGTTAAGCGCTGGCTTAGGATAGTAAAAAAAGAATTAGCTTCTTCAGAAAAGCTGCAGTTTCAATAACCACATATGGCACGGAAAGGTTTTTCTACTCGTTCTATAACTTCATAAATAATTCATAAGAAATGGAGTTTTTACTGGAACACTTTTATATTTATACATAAAATACGTTTACATAATATGTACATATTTTATCAGATCTTTCACGAAAAAGGTTATGTTACAGTGTGTATTTTCATATGCCTTTGCAAACTTGTTTCTCTTATACATCTAAATCCACAGATATTACACAAAAACGGTTTTTCTCCGGTGTGTATTTTAATGTGTCTTCTCAAATCAGATTTGTGTATACATTTAAATTCACAGATACTACACGAAAAAGGTTTTTCTCCAGTGTGTATCTTAATGTGTTTTCTCAAATCAGATTTGTGTATACATTTATATTCACAGATATTACACGAATAACGTTTTTCACCGGTATGTATTTTCATATGCCTTTGCAAACTATCTTTTCTATTACATTTATATTCACAGATATTACACGAAAAAGATTTTTCTCCGATATGTATTTTCATATGTTTTTGCAAGTCAACTGTTCTAATACATTTATATTCACAGATATTACATGAAAAAGGCTTTTCTCCGGTATGTATTTTCATATGGTCTTGCAAGCTACTTTTTGTAAGACACAAAAACGGTTTTTCAACGGTGTGTATTTTTATGTGTCTTCTCAAATCAGATTTGTGTATACATTTAAATTCACAGATACTACACGAAAAAGGTTTTTCTCCAGTGTGTATTTTAATGTGTTTTCTCAAATCAGATTTGTCTATACATTTATATTCACAGATATTACACGAATAAGGTTTTTCACCGGTATGTATTTTCATATGCCTTTGCAAACTATCTTTTCTATTATATTTATATTCACAGATATTACACGAAAAAGATTTTTCTCCGGTATGTATTTTCATATGTTTTTGCAAGCTACTTTTTGTAATACATTTATATTCACATATATGACACGAAAAAGATTTATCTCCGGTGTGTATCCTCATATGTTTTTGTAAACTATCTTTTCTATTAGATTTATATTCACAGATATTACACGAAAAAGGTTTTTCTCCGGTATGTATTTTCATATGATGCCGCAAATTACATTTTATAATACATTTATATCCACAATTATTACAACAGTACACACGTTTAGCCATGTGCGCTTTAAGATGTGCCAAAATGCAACGTTTTTGAGATGTTTTAAATTCGCAAATATCACAATTAAACATTTCCGTTAGTTGTGGTACAGCAGTTTGTTCAACTTGTGTCCTATCTGAGTTCTTTTGGGTCTCATGACTGTATGAAATGTGTTTGGCGAGAATTTCTTTTGTTGAAAATTTTTTGCTACAATGATCACATTCAAAAACATATTTTGTTGATGCCCCAGATGTTTTTTTCGTAAGTATATTTACACTCTTCTTTTTCATAATCTTTGCAGGATGCTTTCCTTTTTTATTAAATGGTTTATAATGTCTTTTCACTTTAGGGTCTGATTTAATAGAAGGGCTTTTCAAATCGAGCTTTTCTTTACGTACATCGCTTATGTTGCTGTCAGTAGAATTTGATTTAATCATTTTCTCAGACGTTTCTGAAAGATGGTTTGTTGGTGTGATGTATTGTTTTGAAATACACACGAATTAAACATTTTATCTATTTTAAGACATAAACAACCGTTGTAAACACCATGAACTGTTTACAATGGGCGGAGTTTATGCCTTATGGCATTCTCTATCAGTTAACCCAGAGAGAAATAGAGAAATTATAATATTTTACATAACAATACTACACGATGTGCCTTGCTATAAAGTAATTTTGCCCATTACTCTGAATAATGTCTCTCATATTTATTTTTGGAGGGAAAGAATGGTAGAGAAACTAAATTCATATGATTCACGTTCTTCTGACAGTGTTATTATTACATTAATCTAATAATCGCTGTTTCGAATTCCACACAGAACTAGTGTTATAGATACATACATATTAATGTATATATGTATAACACTGAAGCTCCCAAATGACGGAGGTATACTATAATAATTACGCCAGGGTAAAATATCCAGACCAGCGTCATATGGTCATAAATGCAATATGTCTGGTGCTGCGATTGTCAATCCTTTCTGCAAAGTGTGACAATGCGAGGGACCCATGCCAGGCATTGTACTTTTATGGGCTAATCAAGTATAAATAAAACAGAGATATGGCGTCCCGAAATAGTCGTCCATACTGTATCTTTGTGACGCTTCTTTTGTATAGAATAAGGGTGACAAACGAGCACACAGTCCACCTGATGGTAAATGGTTGCTGTGGCCCATAGACATCTACATCTGTCCTCGTTTGCGAATCAAAATGCAGATGCGTTGTCAGCCCTGAGGACTAAGATGGAATGCCTCTTTTCCAGTAAAAAAGGGTCGCCGGTTCTTTACACGCTCTTTACGAAATACAGCAGCATTAAGCTGCTATTTTACGCTGGTATTCTGTGAGAGCGTGGTCTTTCCCCGGTCGACCTATTCGTGCTACAAATTAATATAGCTGCAGCATGGCTCTACCACGTCCAAAATTATTTCTACGCGAACACTACACATTTAAATGGAACTAAGTTTTACGGATTTTATAGAGTACTGTGGTAGATTTAATTGAGCAGTTGGAATTTATCCGAACAATTCGTCTGAGAACTAACTCCCCGTGGTATATACAGGGTATTTTTGGAACGCTCCCGAAAACTAAGACAGGCGACAGCACCAAGTATACCTTTGATCATGGGTCATAAATAAATTTGATCCTGATGAAAAAAAAAACATATTTTTACAACGTTTTATTAGCTTTATTCACGCGTCATCATGTTAGTACAGCTAAATGAAACGATAATTTCATAAAAAAAATCATGAAAAGACTGAAACATAAAACCAGCAGTGGAAACTGAATTGATATCACCTGACTAATGGAGGTTAATGTACGCGCGAACGGTGAAAAAAGAACGCTGGCCTTGAACTTGGGCACTGAGCGATTTATCACATATTGGCCAGTATTACTGTGCCTGCATGCTATTGGTTCCCGCGCTTTGTTCGCTCCAAAAATACAGTCGCATACACAGCTTACTTTGCGACTCGCGACGATGTTTTAAAAAGGAAGGAAAAAAAATTATTTATATCTATTGTTTTATGACTAAACTAGTGAACGAAACAGTGAATGGGGAAAATTGTGCAGTAAAGTTAAAATTGTTGAGGAAGAATACCGAAAAAATTACCATGTGATCGACCTGATGACGGAAGCTCAAGCGAAGATGAAAGTGATGATGAAGTAGCATCCAGTAACACCAACACACCATCAACATCTGGCTTCCATGTGACCCAAGACGTCACAATGGACGGCGTGTCACCCTTAGCTTAAGTTTTTTTGTTACAAACTACTTTATATTTTACGATAGAAATAACAAACAATGCTCAAGTAAACATTATCTATTTTTAATTCCCACCTCTTCCAAAGTTCTAAGTAGCTAGTAAAACACCTATTATGATTCTACAATAAAACAATTAATTACTATAATATTATAAAACAATAGCCCAATACCATGTAGTACTTTAGGACGCGACTGTACCCACACTCACTCCGCTGTCGACCTGTCGCCTCACGCTTGTGACGCAGTAGGTTTCAGGTGTTGATTTTGTACACGCGTGCGCGAGCGACAGTTCAATCGTTTTGTTTAATAAATTTACTTGTGATTACGTGTTGATATTAAAGTTTTTGTTACGTTTTTGGATTCTTTTTTGTTTTAATAATGCCTAACGCGTACGTTTATAGTGGTTATTATACTGCCGTTGGTTATTATATCAGCAACAACGTGTGCCTGGTTCCATTGATCACATTATCTGGACGGATGAGTCGACATTTACCAGAAACGGCCTGTGGAACCGAAGAAATACACACGTGTATTCAGAGGTTAACCCGCACGCTGTTCGACAAACCGGGCACCAAACCCGATGGTCGGTTAACGTATGGACAGGTTTATTTAAGGATCGCATACTGGGACCAGTGTTTCTGCCAGAGCGACTGAACGGACAGCGATACCTAAACTTTATAAATGAACAGTTGGTTGACATTTTAAACGACCTATCGTTGGCTGAATATCGCCGCACATAGTTCCAACATGATGGTGCCCCTCCACATTTCGTGAGGTTCGTCCGTGAGCGCCTCAATGAGCTATTTGATGATCGCTGGATCGGCAGACTACGACCACACGCTTGCCCACCTCGCTCACCAGATCTGACTCCGTTAGACTTCTTTTTGTGGGGTATGTGAAAGAAAGGGTTTTTAATCGTGAATGTGATAGTGCTGAAGAAATGCGCCAAAGGATCGTGGATGCTTTCGAGAAACTACGTACGGACTGTGTCGAAGACCACACGATGATGCCCCGCCTGCACCCAAGTCTGCCTTGAAATGAATGGAGCACAATTTGAGCCGCATCTCATAAGACCACGGAGGATTTAGAGCAGTAAGCTGTTTCATAACTATTTTTTTTTAAATAACTTAGTACTAGACTAATCTGAATAGGTACATAACTGAATACACGAGAATAATAAACATACCTACACGATGAATAAAAACGCATGACTCCAACCTTGGTTACATTTCATTTAAGTATTTCTTCATTAGCGGGGAATCGAACCAGTTATTTGGGTTATTTAACCTGTAAATTCGGATTAAAGTGGCTACGTGGAGATAAGCACAGTGGCAAAATAGTAGGTTAAGTAGATAAGTTAGGTATTTAGACACGTGTTGTAAATTATTAGGTATTGTGGGAAGGCCCGCTAGTTGCGGGCCGCGTGAATTTGTGTTCGCGCGTACATTGACCTTTATCTAGCTCAGGTCAGGTGATATCAATTCAGTCATTCCACTGCTGGTTTTATGTTTCAGTATTTTCATGATATTTTTTATGAAATTATCGTTTCATTTAGCTGTACTAACATGATGGCGCGTGAATAAAGCTAATAAAACCTTGTAAAAAGATGATTTTTTTTTCATCAGGATCGAATTTATTTGTGACCCATGATCAAAGGTATACTTGGTGTTGTCGCCTGTCTTAGTTTTCGGGAGCGTTCCAAAAACACCCTGTATGTACTGCAGAAGAAGCATATAGATGCAGCGTCTATTCGCAAGGTTAGTGGATCAAGCCGATCGGAAAGAACTTGATCGTCGACGATTCAGGACGCTCTCTGTTGAATACCGTCAAGTGGAAGGAGTTCATACTGGGGTGCCCCAGCCCAGACATGAGAACATTATTCCATACGAGGCCGAATCTGCGTGTTGTGAAGCTGTAAGTGGTGAGCCGGCATGAAATACCGTCTCGATCTACTGAGCACACCAAGCTTTTTTGATACCAGTTAAGCATTCCCTTAAGTAAATGCAAAGGAATACGATCCTGGCTGTGGCAAAGAGGGCAGTACCCTAAAATTGAGAAAATACGACAAAGGGGTTCTTTTTTCCGGTAAACGCGCAGACCTGTGTCTTTTGGGAGTAAAACTGGACTAGATTTAGTCGCCCTCAATCCGAAATTTTAATCAACAAAGACTCGACTTAAGACACAAGTTTGTTCTGGGCACTCGAGGACGTGTTCCCGAGAAATCTGTATAACAATGAACTTTACTAGTATGTTACATATCATTGATATGCAGAAGGAAAAGAGTAGGCGAAGGAACAGATAGCATGCAGCCTTGTGAAACATCAGCATTCACAGGCTTAGAGTCGGAGCATGCCCCGTCGACTACGACCTTAAAACTCCGATTTGTAAGAAAATTGGAGGCCCAGTTGCATATTTTTTCGGGAAGATAAGAGGGAAGTTTCGGAAGAAGCGCTTTGTGCCAAATTCGATCGAAGGTTTTCGCTAAGTTTAAACTAGCCGCCAGGGCCTCGACTGCCTCCGCTCTATCTATCTGTAACTTAGGTACACAAGAAGGTCATTTGCCAGCGAGTCAAAGAAAGAGAAAAAGTCAAAGAAAGTCAAAGTCAAAGAAAGAAAAAGAGTAAAAGATGCAACATCTGAAGACAAAGTTGAGAAGCTGAAAGAAGCTGAGCGACTAGTACAACATCTCAGCATCGGAGCTACTCACCCAGCGCTACGACAATCGGCGTCTTGAGCTTACATCTTTCGTCATAACACCATGCTCAACTTGCCTTTAATACAACGCCCCGAAAATTACAACTTAAAAAAGATGCATGACGTCATAACTGAATGCCTGAACGGGCTCGCTAACATCAGGCCCCACTCATCGTCCGTCTGATGTCACAGAAATTGGATACTTCAACGTACGCGGACTACATGAGAGAACAACAAGACCACAGAGAGCTACGTAACTTAAACGACTTTCTCTTCTTTCTTGAGAGTAAGTTTATGGCATACGAAACCATGAAAAATTTAAAGAAAGAAATACCTAACGTATAAAAACAAGGCCAACAAAAAACAAGTAACTACAAGAACTTTCCCACTAAAACATTTCTACGTAACTAAAAAAAGTTATAACAAAACTTATTTTACTACTTCAACTATTGGGCAATGTCCTAACTGCAAAGGAGGTCACGTGTTGATGCAATGCGTCGAGTTCATCGACATGAATGCTATACAACGCATTAATACAGTTGCGAAATTACATGTATGCGAAAACTGCCTGTATAGCCGATAATAGTGTTCCTTGTGATGAATTGAAGTGTGTTGAAGTGCTAATCGGCAAGGAAAAGGTAAAATCTTTAAACTTTGTTGAGAAAAAACAGCTTATATCCACATAAACAGTTATTGGTATAATTAAAACGTTCACCAACATTTCACGCGGACGTAATCAAATATTTCTTTAAGAAAGAGAGACGATTCGATTTAGAATATATACATAAATAATTTGCTTTTTTAATTTTGTACAATGTTTTTACTTTGTTCATGCTTTCCTTTTGTTTATGTATTGTATTGTATGCAAATATCTTTTTCTTTCGCTCAAGCAAACACAAACGACTTTTTTCAAAGCCAACGAAGTTATGCAACTACTGATATGTCATACAATCTATCTAGCAGTAGTATGCCTTCTGTGTGCTTTGTTAAACACGTCTTCAACAGCACTAAATATAAAACTGAAGAGTAGAGACAGATTAAGATTAGTATATATTTTTTAAACTGCTAAAACAACAAAACCATATCTTGGGCTTGCCCTAGTTTGGAGCCCTAGCATCGCCACTGCCCATATACTTCAAAATAAGTTCTACGTTAATGACCTTGTAAGTGGTCATAACCTGATCGAATCCGCTAAACAACTTCAAACATCACTTATCATCCTACTGCGCGGCGGCGGTATGAACTTACGCAAGTGGTCTGCGAATCACCCTGCGTTTGGTCCCTGTTCGCTGGTTCGGAGGTCGCTGGTAACTCTCAAAGAAAAGATATGCCAGCACAATGCAAAGCATTAAAAGCTTTAATTGTCGAAGTTGAATGTGATGTTGTCCGCCGCCGCTGTCACCGCAGTAGACGGCGCGGCGTGCGGCTGCGGCGCTGCACGCGTCGCCCGCCGCATGGGAGACACCACCCCTTTATATCCGAGTACACGTCGGCCCCGAGCAGCAGGTCCAAGGGTCTGCTGCTATCTGCTGCTTATCCGCTTTAAATGTTGAGTTGGGTAAGTTATTTATAAGTTTTCTCATGATCAGTGTTTGCATCTCGAACGAGTAATCAGAGTGGATAGATTTGCAGGTAAGTTGTAGGTTTCCTTTGCAGTCTCCCGATGCAGTTCCAACCCCAGAAACCTTAGCGGTAAGTCGTTCACTGGGTAGTTTAAGCAGTTAGGCGGCGCTCTCTGTTATCAGGTTCACTTGCGAGCCTTGATCGAGTAGGGCTGCAGTAGTACGGTAGTAAGTAGGATTTCTAATGTTGTCGTTAGTTAAGTGGTTGCAGTTAAGTTGAGTTGAAGTTGTTGGGCGAGAAATGTTCTTGTTCCTCACGCCGTTAGTAGTTTCAGCAGCTGTAGACGCATTTTTTTTTGTATAGTTGTGCAACAGAGTGTGATGTCTCTTATTGCACCCTTTGCAAGTTTTAGTTGATGTGCACTTAGCATTTCCGTGGCTATACAGGCAGTTTGCGCATACATGTAATTTCGCAACTGTATTATTGTGTTGTATAGCATTCATGTCGATGAACTCGACGCATTGCATCAACACGTGACCTCCTTTGCAGTTAGGACATTGCCCAATAGTTGAAGTAGTAAAATAAGTTTTGTTGTAACCTTTTTTAGTTTCGTAGAAATGTTTTTTAGTGGGAAAGTTCTTGTAGTTACTTGTTTTTTGTTGGCCTTGTTTTTGTACGTTAGGTATTTCTTTCTTTAAATTTTTCATGGTTTCGTATGCCATAAACTTGCTCTCAAGAAAGAAGAGAAAGTCGTTTAAGTCAGGTAGCTCTCTGTGGTCTTGTTGTTCTCTCATGTAGTCCGCGTACGTAGAAGTATTCAACTTCTGCGACATCAGTTGGACCATAAGTGGGTCCCAAGTGGATGTTTCGATACCGATATTAGCGAGCCCGTTCAGGCATTCAGTTATGACGTCATGCATCTTTTTTAAGTTGTAGTTGTCGGGGCGTTGTATTACAGGCAAGTTGAGCATGGTGTTGACGAATAATGTAAGCTGAAGTCGCCGATTGTCGTAGCACTGGGTGATTATCTCCCGGCATGAGTAATAGTGTTTAGCGCCAATGATAAGATGTTGTACTAGTCGCTCAGCTTCTCCTCTCAACTTTGTCTTCAAATGTTGCATCTTTTGTGCCTTGTTGATCGTAGGATTATTATGAATTGCATCCAAAAAAAGATCTTTGAAAGAAATTCATTGCATGTAGATGACCGAGAATTCAGGTACTTACTTACTTCTCCTTTGGGTACATCTGACCACTGTCTGGTGAAATCTGTATCGTCATATTCTCCACCTGCTTACGAGTCCCAAGGTGTTCGACGAATATGGCGGTATAAGTCAGCTGATTGGGATGAGATGCGACACTTTTTTGCATCTTATCCTTGGCGGGAGGTCTGTTTCTCTTCTGCGGATCCGTCGAGCTGCGCGGTAGCGATAACGGATGTGTTGCGTCAAGCTATGGAGTATTTTATCCCCTTCTCTGACGCTCCCACCGGTAGCAAAGCTCGCCCATGGTTTAACGCTGAATGCGCCCAAGCTGAAAAGCGCAAGCATTAGGCGTACCTATCCTGGGTTGGCGCTCGAAACCGCAAAGCTCCGGATTTTAGCTCCAAGAAGAGAACTTTCAACCAGACCGCCATTTCCTACAAAAAAGCATTACGGAATTTTTTTTTTGAATTTGTTAATAGCACCGCGGCGGACATTTTCTTTTCTTGCCCTAATACTAATCTAATAAAAAAATAATCAACAAGTCAAATGATTTTTGTTTTACTAAAAGCTTTTGTAGTTGTGTGTGCTTTGATATTAGGAAATATTTTTTCACCTTCCTGGTAATTATCGCATACTAAATCGTGTTTAAGATTTGTTGTTATCTCTTGTTTACGAATAGTTTCTTACGTATTATGTAATGTCAAATTTTCGTTATAATCGGTTATGTTGCAAATCATCTGTGTTATTAGTTTTGAGTGAATAGGTATTTATCAGGCCTGTTACTTCAAATAGTAGTTTTGATCATTAATTTCAATAGTGTAAGGTTATAAAATAAAACTGCGTTTTATTGTTCTTAGTGTTGAGATAATTTATTTTCCAAGATTATTATTGAATTAAATAGTTTATTTACGCCTACAAATATAAGTTAAAAAAGTTACAGCCTATATACACGTCCCACTGCTGGGCACAGGCCTCCTCTCATTTCTGAGAGAGTTTTAGGGCAAGGAAAGGTCCGCCGCGCTGCCCCAATTGGGTGTTGGCGAACTTCACATCTCTTCGAAATATATTTTTTTTTCTTATTTGTCAGACGTACAGGTTTCCTCACGATGTTTTCCATCACCGCCGAGCACGTGGTAAATCAGCATTTAAAATTGCAATTAACAATTTCACTGGTGCCAGCGGAGATCGAACCCGGGTTTCTCGCGTACTGTGAAACTTACAGCGAGTGCTAACCATCTGAGTTACCACAACTCATTTTACAAATATAACTTTTATTTTTATAACATAATCGTAAAATACTGGTATTCAGTTGAATCCGGTTTGACTGGGAGCCGACCCCAATATAGTTGGGAAAAAGGCTAGGCAGATGATGACTCTTACATAATATATATCGTAGCAGGTGGCGTTCTGTAGACACTGCCACAGAAGTTGATGACACGCCTATTGTGCCATCATCATCATCATCATCATTACAGCCCTTCACAAGTCCACTGCTGAACATAGGCCTCCCCCAAAGAATGCCACAAAGCACGGTCCTGAGCCACCTACATCCATCGACTTCCTGCATATTTTACCAGGTCGTCACTCCATCTATTGGGGGGACGCCCTACACTTCGCCTGCCGGTACAAGGCTGCCACTCGAGAACCTTTCTTCCCCATCGGTTGTCGGTTCTTCGAGCTATATGGCCGGCCCATTGCCACTTCAGCTTACTAATCCGTTGGGCTATGTCGATCACTCTGGTTCTACTGCGGATATCCTCATTTCTGAGTTTATCACGCAGAGAAACCCCGAGCATAGCCCTCTCCATAACTCGCTGAGCGACCTTGAGCTTCCTCATATGGCCAGCAGTGAAGGACCACGTCTCAGTTCCGTATGTCATCACTGGCAACACGCACTGGGTGTACAGTCTCGTTATCAAGTTTTGAGGTATACCTGACGAGAAGATGTGCCGTAATTTCCCGAACGCTGCCCAATCGAGTTGAATCCGTCGATTGACCTCTCGGTCGAAGTTGGACTTACCTAGTCGGACTATTTGTCCCAGGTAAACATACTCGTCAACAAATTCGAGCTTAGTGTTCCCAACAACTACCGGCATAGGTGTGACATGGACATTAAACATGATCTTTGTTTTGTCCATGTTCATCTTAAGACCTATCCGTTGGGAAACACTATTGAGGTCATTGAGCATAGTGCTTAGGTTCTCCAGCGATTCTGCCATAAGGACGATATCGTCGGCAAATCGAAGGTGAGTGATGTACTCGCCATTGATGTTGATACCGTATCCTTTCCAGTCCAGAAGCTTGAAAACATCTTCCAATGCAGCGGTAAAGAGTTTCGGGGATATGACGTTGACGTCTTACACCTCTCTGCAATTGGATAGGTTTCGTACTCTGGTTCTGTACTCGGATAGCCATCGTAGCCCTACTGTACAAGCACTTCAAAACTTCGATATACCGACAGTCAACTTGGCATCGCTGAAGGGACTGCAGCACCGCCCAAATTTCGACGGAATCAAAGGTTTTCTCATAGTCCACATACGCCAGACATAGTGGCAAATTGTACTCCTCGGACTTCTGTACAATTTGCCGAAGGGTATGTATGTGGTCTATGGTGCTAAAGCCTTTTCGGAAACCGGCTTGTTCGGGAGGCTGGAAGTCGTCAAGTCTGCGCGCGAGACGATTCGTAATGACTCTCGAAAACAGCACGTAGACGCGGCTCAGAAGGGAAATCGGTCTGTAGTTCTTCAAGAGAGCGTTGTTGCCTTTCTTGAAGAACAAGACCACCGCACTTCTGCTCCACGCCTCCGGTGTAATGCCACCATGGAGGACGGAATTAAAGAGCTTCTGAAGGACTTTAAGTACCGGTTTTCCACCCGCTTTCAGAAGCTCCGCTGTAATTCCATCCTCGCCTGGGGCCTTGCCGTTTTTAAGGTGCTGGAGAGCCATTCTAATCTCGCTCAGACTGACGTCCGGGATATCATCGGAATAATGTCGGATAAGACTCGCTCTTGGATCGTTACTCACACTTGCGTGCGGCTCCAACGATGACGTGTACAGCTGCCCATAGAACCTCTCAATCTCACTCAAAATCTCAGGTGCCCCGGAAACGATGCTGCCACATTCGGTCTTCAGCTTTGACAGTTGGCTCTTTCTGGCAGACAGATCTCTGGCAAAGACTTTGGAGCCTTGGTTCCGCTCGATCGCTTCTTCAATACGAGCTGTATTAAAGTTGCGTAAGTCCCGCCGCATGCATTTGGAGATCTGTCTGTTCAGTTGCCTGTATGCTGTCAAATCTGTTGAAGAATGTAGCTTCATCTCCCGTCTAACAGCCATGAGATTAAGAGTGTAATCGGAGAGTTTTTATGTTCTTCTGCGGCGGGTCTTGTAGAACTTAGCTCCGACCGCATGGACAGTTTCCACGAGCTTGTAATTCAAATCGTCCACTTCATTGCACTGAATTCTTCTAGGCACTGAAAACGGTTTTGAAACTCGAGCTGAAAGGTTTCGGGACCTTGGATTAGAGCACGAGGGGGACGGAGCGTTGACTTCATTAGACGAGACCTCTCCAACTTAACGTTTAGGTTCAGTGTGCCTCTAACCATTCGGTGATCGCTGCCGGTTTTCAACCTCGCGATCACTGAGACATCACTGAACAGTTGTCGTCTGGTCGTCATAATGAAGTCAATCTCATTTTTTGTCGAACCGTCGGGGCTCGACCAGGTCCACTTCCTGTGGGGCCGCTTCTGGAAGAAAGAGTTCATCATAAAGAGTCCCTCTTTCTCCATGAAGTCGGCCAGCTGCTGGCCCCTTGGGTTCCGTTGCCCTATTCCAAATTTCCCCACTTTCAGCTCACCGTTCTCTCTTGTGCCTAGTTTTGCATTGAAGTCTCCCATTAACACCGTATATTGGGTTTTGGAGGAATGCATGGCTCTAGAGATATCCTCATACATTTCCTCCACCTCCTGATCGGGGTGTGCCGAGGTTGGTGCGTAAACCTGTATGACCTTCAGCGAATACCGTTTGGTGATTCTGAGTATAAGGTACGCAACCCTCCTCGACACACTCTCAATCTTTACAACGTTGTTAACGAGTGACTTGTGGACGATAAATCCGACACCTCCTTGGGACAGATGGTCGCCCTCCCGGTAATAGAGCAAGTTGCCGGATTCGAGGATTACCGTGTCCTCCCCCTCTCTTCGGACTTCGGATAATCCTATAATATGCCAGCGTAACTTGTCTATCTCTTCTTCCAGCTCCACAATCTTCTCGTCAGTCCTCAGGGTGCGTGCGTTGTATGTTGCCAGGTCGAGTCGTCGTAGGTGGCAACCGAACCTCCACCGGAGATTCTTAGCACCCATGCCCCGCCGTTACCATGGTCGCCAACGTAGCCAGGAATAGCGGGGCCGCCGGGGACTGGGGGCCGTCTCTTCGTAACTTTCATCATGGGGGTTATATTGCCATAGTTGCCACGCTTGGCGAGCGGGTTGGCAACCTCAGTTTTTTATTGTATTTTTGCCGTTATCAGGAAGATGCTGCTGCTCATCTCCTGCCTGTTTCCCTTTGTCGCCTTTTACGACACCCACGGGAAGATATGGGGTAGTGGATATTCTTAACCGCCACTACAAGGTCAATACGGTATTGTGCCATCAGCCATGTGTAAAAATAATTTTCTTTCTTATGCTTTTTTCACTTGTTTAGACCTAATTAAGTTTAGTAGACATCAAACATCAGTTACAAATGGAAGGATACTTGTTTTTAGAGAGTAACTA